CTATCATAAGATATATGTTTGTATTTTTGTTTGTATGGTGACAAAAGCAATTCATCTAGAGATTGTCAATGACTTAACCACAGAAGCATTCATTGCTTGTCTGAAGAGGTTCTTTGCCCGACGAGGTAAACCAAAAAAAAATATTTAGTGACAATGCAAAAAACTTTGTTAGTGCAAATACAGAAATAAAAAAATTAATGAGTATTTTTCTAAAGCAGAATGGAACTTTAGCTAATTTTCTAGCCGAGGAAGGTATACAATGGAAGTTTATACCCCCAAGAGCACCAAATTTTAATGGTCTATCTGAAGCAGGAGTAAAATCCTTTAAATTTCATTTTAAACGAACAGTAGGAAATTCAGTATTAACCTACGAAGAATTTTTGACAGTAACAGTTCAAGTAGAGGGAATCTTAAATTCTCGCCCTCTTACACCGTTAACTTCTAATATTGATGATTTAAATGTTTTGACCCCTGGTCATTTCCTTATAGGTCGACCGATCAATTCAATAATTGAACCCAATTTAACAGAAGTAGATAATAAACAGACTTAGTTTATGGCAAAAAACTACAAAAATGGTACAAAATATATGGAAGAACTGGACTAATAATTACTTGAGCACTTTGATTCAAAGAAATAAATGGATGATTGCTAAACAAAATATTAAAATAGGGGATATGGTAGTGATCAAGGAAGAAAATCTTCCTACCTGTAAATGGTTGTTAGGGAGAATTGTAGATGTGTTTTATGGGAAGGACAACCTTGTGCGAGTTGTCTCTGTCAAAACCAAAAATGGTATTTATAAACGAGCAGTTACTAAAATTGCTGTACTGCCAATTGAGAAATAATGTACGAATTTTTATGTTTATTTGAAGGTTTGAATTGTAATCCATCATATTTGTTCTTTTCACATTGTAATTACTTGTATTATAATTTGTGCATTAATTTACATTGTATCATTTTGTATTGTATGAACATTTATTACTTTTTTGAATTTTACTTATTGTATTGAAATTAATATTTCAACGCCGGGCGGGATGTTCGGTGTCTGAAAGAGTATTGCTTGGCAGCATTGTTTTACGCCAAGCAGAGTTTGGCTTTAGTGTAACCCTAAAGTTATTTCGTTTTTGCTTTATTAGTATGAATGATTTCTGACTTGATGTAAGAGCATATGGTTGCTCGCTCTTTAGCTAAGTTACATAGGTAACTATAAGCACATGCGTGTGCTAGTATTCAATAATGTTGTTTTTGTTAAAATAAAATTGTTATTGTTAATATTACAGTCCACTTACTGAAGTTAAGTATCATTAAATAAGTTCGAGCTATCTTCGGCAAGAACAGTTACTTTCTTTACAATACCATTTCTTTACAATTACAAATTCATTTACAATTATTTCTTTACAATACCACCCTACCACATACGGCACTATCAAATGTATAGATCCTAAATCAACAGTTTAAGATCAGGGCCAGCGTTAGGTATTTTGACGACCGGTGCAATCTCTGCGTGCCCTAAATCTCTCTATATTTTAAAAATTTTGCCGCTTATAAATTTTGCTGTCCAGACCCTCCCATATATTCTTAAAATTTTGCTGCTCGACGCTAAAAGTTCTAAAAGTTTTGCTGTCTAAAATTCTCCCGCAAAGGTTGCACTGGCTCTGTCTATAGTTATGCCTTAACCTCCTGACTCCAAACGATTACCATTTTTACCTCAAGCCACTTTTCGTCCAAGAAATGCTTTGCCAACAACACATCAAGTCATAATGCAGTGAAGGACTTCATCCCTTCCGAAGTTTTAACGTGTACATATTTCTTCAGACGTAACTTCGAAATAATTTTAGGATGGGATATAATAGTCAAAAGCTTTGTAGTAAAACATTTCCAGTAAATTGCGACACGTAACTTTCATACATACAAATGGCCGGACACTTTCTGCGTTACGCATTTCATGGGAAATGATAGATTCTATTTGGCAGTTAGCTATTTTATTGTCGAGATTATTGCCTAAATGCACCACAAGAGTCAAGACTACTCCATCTTAATTACGACCATCCAGAGGCCGACTGTACAATACACTGAAAACTGATAGTCCGGTCCGATCCAAATCTCAGCGAACGGTCTAGCTGAAGGTAAACAAGTAAAAATGCATGAGACACTAAAAACTTCACTACAGAAAAGAATGTTTATTGCCTCAACACACTAACCAGCTAGAGTATGAAAAAATAGAATTGACTGTATGCTACATCGGAGTTGTTACATTTAAACATAAGAGGATAATAACATCAAATTAGGCAAAGTTACATAATATAACTAACACAAACTGTTGAGTGTACTTTGCCCAGTTTTGTTATTATCCTCTTATGTTTAAATGTAACAACTCCAGCTGCATGGATACATGGTTTTTTTTTCATGTATAACGTGAGGTTCCTTTAGAAAGACCTGCATGATCCTCCATCTTCTTAAATAGATAAACTTGACATGCTTTGCCGTATTAGACTAAAGGGAAGGAAAGAGAATTCATTACATTACGTTAAGTTGCGTCAATCCATCACGCGGCTTAGCAAACTGACAGTTTTCGCAGCTGTTGCAAATCTTTTCTGGGAAAGAATCAAATCTAAGCCTGTTGGTAATTTTAGGACAGCAGTTTTTCAATTTCACTTCGGGCGGTATTTCATGCATTTCGTTGCTAGGAGAACGGCCCACTGGTGGACGAGCGGCAAGATAGCTAAACACTGGTAGCTCGACCTAGGCTCAAATCCCGGTTAATGCGCTAGCTGCATGAAGTTTCCATGGTTTTCCCCCATACGTAATGTGAATATAAAGCAGTATCGTTTAAAAAGTCCTCCACGAAGTTATCCATTCCCTTAGGCAATTATAAAATTGATTTACAAAATACAATTCTTAATAATTTTTATCTTCACTGCATTCTTCAAAATATTTTTACGTTACTTAATTTTTTAATATCGACTTCATATATTAAAAAACTAACTAGTAGCTCTTATACACATTTATGCCATTAATGCTGCGCATAAAAGACAATTCTAATAACAAATCAAAGATTTTTAGAATATAAAAAATATTTTATTATATCCCGAAATATAATATTTGTATATTTATATAATATTCGTAGATTTATGATTCTAGCTTTAAAGAAATGAATCAAATTAAATAGGTTTTAAACCTAGTTTTGAGTTTTAGCCACATGATACTTTTAAGTAAAAACAGATAGGTAAGCGAGTAAGGTGAGCGGTAAAGTTCTAATTAGTAAAATGTTGATGATTCTTTAAGAAAGGAAACCAACTCATAATATGTAAGTAACTTTAAAAAAATATGAAAATTCTATGATTGAAACTATTTTCACCTGAAATGAAATACACGGATTTAGATATAGCAGCTATAATATGAAATTGTGTTACACAAAATTCCAAAACTTAGCGTTTCTGAAAAAGGTTAAACTGAATTTTTTTTTTCGCAGATCAATGTTTTTCTATTGTTAATAATGGCCCACCAGCGGCCGATCGGTAAAGTTGCTGAATGCTAGTAGTTCGGGCCGAGGTTCGAATCCCGCGAATGGACTGGCTGCATTGGTGTTTTCATAGTTTTCCCCATGTATAACGTGTATACGAGCCAGTTTGCCTTAGAAAGTCCTCCACGAAGACATCCCTCCCCTTATGCAGATAGCCCTAGTGTGCTTTGCCATAATTAAATACACACACACATATTGTTCATAATATATCAGAAATCTGCATTTAAAAGCTTAAAATATATAAGTATCGTTAGCAATATTTTCTTACAATCTCCAAAAAGTTCAATGACATTTCTATTAATTTCGATCACACAAGAATGGATTTTGATACTACAAACATTTTTAACATTTTGGAACGTAATAAAACAAACATTATAAACAAACATTTCGGAACGTTGCGTTCAGTTACGTTACCAAAGATGTAATATAATGTAATATACGAGTGTGCTACAAGTCTCCTGGCTGATAATAATCGCCCTCATGGTTAACGCAGCACACTTAACACAGACAAACAAAAGATTAAAACAAAAATACAGTCAAAAACATCAAACCAAAATTTCCAATTATGTTACCATGTTTTTCCCTAACACGTCGCAATAATACGCAGTTTTCGACAAAAACATTACCAAAGATATCTAATCGCCTTGGCAAGTGCTATAGCCTGTTACTTTAAAATAGGCATTTCAAGAACAACCCTACCCTCATTTACGATCGTAACATATGTCGTCACCAACGCATAGACAAAACTAGGGGATTTTAGTAAATTAGAGGATTTGAGCTTTTTTCCACAACAGTCGTTGTCGTGGTTATAAGTTGTGGTTTCGCGGAAGAAACTACCTTGAATAATCGTTCTAAAGTAACAGACTATAATATTGCACAAAACATAAGATGTTTATCTTCTAGATGCCTTGTGCATAACCAGACCTCAGAGTGTTGCCACTTGAAAAACATAATGTGCCTTATGAATTTTATCAAATTTATAACTGCTTAACAAGCTGAGCGATTTAAAAGCAGTAAATACATTCCTTAATAGGATAATTTTTATTTTATTTTTAACAATATAACCAATATATATTAAAATATATTATCATAATAAATTAAAAAGTTTCTAATGCATTATATTACCAACTGCCATAAAATTGTTTGATTTTTTTGGGTGCCTTTTCTATGTATCTTTTTTGGGGGAGGGGAGATTTAGTTAAGGAAAATATTTTTTCACTAATTCTTTATATCCCTTTCCACCAAAGTCCCTATTAAAGTACTTATATTTCTATGAAAAAATAACATGTGACGAAAATTATAGTAATCTAAAAATCTATTTAATTTGATTGATTTCATAAACTGGAACCGTGGGTTTAAGGACAGTCTTCAAAACATTTTTCTGGAAGTAACTTTATTTGTATTATTCATGGTTCATTATTTCTATAATTAAAAAGATATATAGTAAATGATTATAGTAAGATAAAGAGACAAGGAAAATTTTTCATAACAAATTTATTTTACAGTTATTGTTTTTATTTACATAGGTAACAGTTGTACATTAAATCCTAACAGGCAATGATATGTTTAGACTAATAAAACAGACAATATCGAAAGAGGTAACATCACATAAATTCCAAATTTCAGATCAATTTACTAAAAATCGCATTGTACAAACTAATAAAAATTACAAATCCATTTATATATAACATGGAAAATACAACAGCAAATTTTAAAACTAAATTCATCACATACAAGTTAAAAATTCACACTAGAAATTAATTTCACTAAATACAAAAATTTAATTCATATCTATGAATAATCAGCACACAGCTCAAATAAAACAAATTTTTCTTTTTAAGAATTTTTTTGCTTAATATTGTCTTCTAAAAATATAATAGCCGATATAATACCAGCTGCATGATGAGTTACACAGATAAGATGCCAGGAGTCACAAGCCATCTTATTGCTGAAATTCAGAACCTCGATTTCAGAAACTCTGTGTTTTTGCAGCAGTAATCCATAAAAAGATTCCTATTATGTGAAATGACCAAACCGCAAGTTTGAAAAATATTGATCTTCTTTTTTGTTGCAAATACTTGTTGGAACGGCAACATGTAAAATGGCAGTAAAAAATCACAGCATTAAGTGCAGATAAAATTTTGAATTCCTTTCTAAAGGGATGCGAATATTTGTAAAACTAATATTTATGTACATTAAACAAAATACAACGAAGAACATCATTTATCTAGAGAATAAGTTCAAAATACTTTGAAAAAATGTGACTACAGCACAGCTGCCTAAAAAATCAAACAGAATTAAAAGTGTGGTGTTACATTCTAACTAATACAGATTAGTTTTAAATTTAATCAAAAAGGCTTGGTTTAGCCTCTAGGGTTTTAGATTCTTGCTCTATATACTTGAGTATATCAAGCTTATTCAAATCATTGGCCAGGTCACTGACAGTGTTCAGATTTTCTGTCTTCTCTGGCTCATTAGCATTTGCAGCATCCAATCCTTGGACGTCAGTGCGATTCTTTAGGACAGCAGGTTTCGGTTTCGTCGGAGGAGGTGCTTTCGGTTTTGGAGGGGGTGCCGGTTTTGCAGTACCTGCAGATACCACTGAAGGTTTTGAAGGAACTTCGGGTTTATTCATAAACACATTTCGTGGCGAAACCTGCAATAAACATTCACTGTTATAATACCTTCATTTTTAAGGGTTTTTCTACAACTTTATACTTACACAAGTAGAATTTTATAAGTATTTACATAGTGGTATTAAGTAAGTTATGATGTGAGTATAAAAATTGACTAACTTGAAATTCTAGTAACCATAAATACCCTTAAAGTCGCCCTACTGAAGTGAATGTAACGAACCAAGAGATTTTGTCATTGTTGAAGCAATTTCTGGAGGTCCTCTCTCTTCATGATGTTCAGCAAAACCAACAACGAATATAATTCTGCCAAGGACCTCTTAATGGCACTTGCCTTGAAACATAATGACTGGGGACTGAGAAAGAAAAAAAATAGTTCTCATTTCCACTTTCCAAGAAAGAGAGTAAATGAAAAGAAATGCATAATGATGATGTCGTATCTATGACAAAGTGCAATTATATAGCTTCGAAGCTGTCAAAGACAGCTTTTGCAACCTCGGCAGCTCTATCAGTATAAAGTAGGTCCACTGTGTCTTCAATGCCGATGTCAAACAGAGATAGAAGAAAGAAATGCATAATGAGAATATTAATTGCAAACTGCCAACCTCAATAGAATCTTTTATCACAAATGTTTTCAAAAATATAAACACCAGATGTAATCTACAATATCTGTCACCTGAAATGTTTGCATAACTTTGAAAGGTTATTAAAGTTGTTGATCAAGAGGAATGGATGTTCACACAAGATAACATAACTGAATTTCCACTATAGGTACAACCCACCAACGGTATAAAGTCGCTGAATATTAATAGTTGTATCCAGGCTTTGAATCCCAGTGAAGGGGCTGGATACATGGTTGTTTTTGTGTTTTTTCCAATGTGTAATGTGCATAAAAGCTAGTTTCCCTCAGAGAGTCCTCCAGGAAGGCATCCCTTGGCTTAGGCAGATAGTCCTCGAATGCTCTGCAATAAAAATAAAACAAACCAAATCCATTACAGTATATAAGAGATTTTTGGGCAATGCAGGATTTTGTCATTTTTACATTATCCCTGGATATCTTTAATTTTTCATCATTTCTGAAATGATGTCTAAAAGGCGAAAATTTAACACAACTGAAGACATTTCCATGTGGGGGGGGGAAGAAGACTGTGTTGAGAAAAATTTTCAGAAGACACATAATTAGCCAAACACAAAATCTGCACAGCAAATTAAAAATAGCCAAATGACAAGTACGAAAATGCTTAAAACATAACAGCCATGTACATTCTGAAATGTGAATAAAATGATTTTCATTTTGAAAATTAAAGTAACTTGATTTCAAATCCAACCGTACAAAACAACAAGGGAAAATAGAATTAAGTAATATATATCTTACCGTTTATGTGTGGAGACCATTATTTCATAAAATAACTAGGTATTTCATGGAATATAATTGAACCAGTTAAAGCATATAAAATTATTGTATTCTAGGATTTAACCAGCTATTTTATAGAATAACTTTGCCAAATGATTGAAGTATTAAAGATAGCACGCGAGAGCTGTTTCAACTGGTTATAGCTGATTTTAGTAAGTTTTGAATTGGTTATGGCTGGTTTGCAATCAGTGTGTATACTGCATTTCTTAGCACTAAATTTTTTAATAATATTTAAAATTATAAGTATTATTCATATTTTGCATTTTAGATAAAATTTGTATAATATTTTTTAAACAGTTTATTTATTTATTTATTTATTTATTTTTTTGCCAGCAGGACTAAGCAGTTTATCAATTTATATAAGTTGCAAAAATTTAAATACAGCTGTTGCTGCACTACACTCTTATTTTTTATTACTGTTTAACTAATCTAGCAACAACACTATATTATTTAATTTGCTTTTCTGTTATTATTTATCAGCTAATTTATCTGTAATATCAATTATATTTGAGAGACTAACTGTTTATCATCAGTTAACTTACAAAACAGAGTTGTTTTAATGTCAAATTCTTTATCCTTCTTCATTCAGATGATTTTAATTGTACTGGTATAATTAACTGAATCAGTCATCGAAGTTGCTATTCGCCGATGGGGGACTAAAATCGAATCCGAATTTAATAAACGTTTACGAAGTTGCATGGCATTAAAGTAATCTGCGCAAAACCTTGAATGCAATGCTATCGCAAGCAATATATATAAAAAACTAACCTCTGGTTTTTTTGGGATGCCTTCCACTTCTAATTTTCCCAAAGATTTTTTCCTCGGCAAAGGAACAGGCTTGGAAATTTCATCAGGTTTTGGAACAGGCTGACTTTCCACTAATTCCTCGGTCTCGGGTTTTTTTGTCAAAATGGGAGAGCTCGGTAAAGGTTCCAGATTTAATAAATCATCCAGGTTTTCGTTCACGCTAAAATTTTAAATGTAAATTATAAATTAATTTTAATTACATTTAAAACAATTATTACACAGTTACAATTTGTTACCAATTTTACAGTTTGGTGTAAGCGAAAAAGCGATTATGAGTCTTGAATTAGTGTGAATTTGCAACATATCGAAATATAATATTTAAAGACGTTAAACTATGTGTAATATTAAAAGGGGTAAATGAAATCAAAATCTATAAATTAGATCCAACGTACTTATTTTACAATACTTGTGAAACTAGGGCATAATAACTACCAAAATTAGCAATGACTACATTAAAGAATGTATTTACCATGTATCACTGATATTTAGACTACAGACTACAGATAAGAGTATTTTAACTACAACTCTGAATAATGATCAAGATTTTAAAAAAAAAAAAAAAAAATCAGAGCTTTAGAATACAGAGACTAACTAGGACTACAGCAGAACCAGATACATGAACAATATGAATAATTGGATTGTCGTTTTTTCTGTACGCCAAATAGGTATTCACCCTAATGAAAAGGGTAATTTTATTTTTCAGCTTATAACATTATATAGGGTTAAAAATATTTACATTTTTATACAATACAGTATAAAACATGAAGTTTGCCTAGATATAAACAATGAAATTACTTCTTATTTGCCTAAAAACAAAATCCCATTTCTGTTAAAATAAAATTTATTACATTTACTTTTATTTGGATAGGCTTTAAAAGCAAATAAAATCGCGTTTCTGTTTTACTACAGAAAATGAAGAATTCAATTTTTATTTACGTAAAACAAAACACCTAGCCCATTTCTGCTCAACTAAAATAAGCTTAAGACAGAACTTTTTAATGACGTAAAACAATTTAGTAATAAAAAATAGACAACACATATTTCTAAATTTTTGTGCTTGTTTTTGCTATAGCTTTGATTATTTTAATGAAAATCATCTACTCAATTCAATAACAGTAACCTCCTTCCCTCTCCCCCCCCCAAAAGCCCGCAGGATAATAAAATAAAGGATTTAAGTTTACTTGGGGGGGGCAACAAGTGTTTCGAATAACTGTTTTATTCTGTTGACACAATTTGCATCACTATTAAAACTAACTCTGATATCGCTTGCTTGCTTGTACGGGGAAAATATATTCATTTAACGAAAAACTGAAAGATAATAAATAAAGCCTATCTGAAAAATTCCTCATTATCATTACTCAGCAACAGTCGGCTTACATCATTATCTAAACATGTGATTCTACACATCATTTTCAATGGCACGCCTCTTTGTGAAAGAAAGCACTTAAAAACTGCCAGTGCATAATGACGCGCACTGACAACATCTTTTTATTTATTACCCAAAAATATTTATTACATACAAACATACCAGTCTGAAAATGTAATTCGGGAGTATATATAAATTGAAAGGAAATCAACGCTAAAATTTACGAGATTAATTTAACATGACAAAATTCAAACGGGTGTGCACAAAACTTATTTCATTTCACAACGCGCCTGTTTGTAAAGATGCCAGCTCATTTACGCTAGTCGGCTAGCGCTCAAAGAGAGCTCTACAGAAACATAATCGTATAGCTGTGCCGGCACCCTTATGCAAATTAGTTTCTAGCTAAAAAAAAAAAAAAAAAACTTCATAAGATAGTGAACCTCATGCCGGGGCATGGCTACACAAGTAGAATTTTCATTTGCTTTGTTAATCAAAGTAGCCTAGATGTGCTGCGGCATAAAAGTAACTGCTCTTTTATAAAGGTTGCTTTTTACAGGTTAGAACTATCTTCAAAAACACGCACGCAGCTTCCAGGCACCCTTACAAAGGTTTCTGTGTTTTCGAAAAGTGGCAGTAAAGATACTGGTATCTTTAACAAGTGGCACTTTTAAGAAGCGGTGTCGGGAGAATGCTGGTTGTCCAGAAATTTCTTAATACTTTTGATGATAATTCAAAAATCTGTATATGACACTATGATCCATAGTAAAAGAAGTCGCTTCACTCACATCTTCAACCACCGATTCCCCAACCCTCCAACGATTTCACCGCTCCGATATTTTCCCTCCCGCTCTGTTTTCAAAATATGGTTATCAAATTTAAGTTTCGAAATCTGAAGTCAAAATAAGGAGGCACCTTTCATTTCAATTGCGTAAGATTACATATTTCTTTGGCATATTGAAATCAGCGTTATATTTAATATCACATATGAATATTTTTCAGGTTAATTTCAAGTATTACATTTGATATGCCGATTTTGTTTCATCTTTTGCCTGTTTCTTTAACAATAATGCATAAGCCAAGATATGCTTTAACCAGTCTTCTTTAGCATAGGAAGAAATAAATGTGCTTTATTACAAAACATGATAAAGCCCAAGAGAAGATTCTCTTAAATGCATACTGCACCGTAGGAAAAAATAAAATAAAAGTAAATAAATAAATAAATCTATCCAAGACAAAATTTCATCTACTAATTTTAAGAACAAATTTCCGTCCTTCTTTTTTATTTTATTTTTAAATCTCCGCTACAGCAATCTGTTAACCGAATGGGAAAGCTTACATTCAACTACTTTCTCACAAAGATGGGTTAAATCAAGACAAAGACAGATCATTAAAGTTCTTCAGGGATTTAAAAGAATCATTAACATTTCGAGATTCATGGGTGTCTAGAAGAATCTCTCTCTCTATATATATATTGAAATTTTTACAGGCCTAAAAAAATGGCCAAGTCAACGCAATGCAATGTTAAGAAAGAAATCATAAATATTTCTTCCATTGTGAAGCGCGAAAATACATTTTCTGTTTTCTTTCTCGACCATGGCACTGCATATTCCTCACAAGTCTTGAAAGCCTCAGTTCAGGATGTTTTTCTACCTTGCGTGTATAAAGAGAAATCATCATCAGAATGTGACGTCACAGTATTTGTTTCGTCTACATCCCTTTTTCATTTATCACTGACTTCGCTCAAGCGACATCTGAACCCATTCTTCACAGATCGAGCCACAAAGAATTTTGTATTATTTATTCCATCTGAGGCAGAGCCTGTAGCCGATTTCTTTCAGGGGCTGTACAAAAGACTCAGACTAATCTTTTTAACGCCAACAGCGCAAGTACAGAATTATAATTCCCAAAAATGTTAAGTTTCATTACCTTGTCGCATCCGTCTAAAAGGTTTCTTGCTTGCAATCAATAAAATAAGTGACGCAGGAAAGAATTTCATGACACACATAAAAAAACAACGAATTAACTTAAGCAACTTTAATTTTGTTCTGCTGAATAAACTTGACAAAAATTAGTTTAATCTTCAGGGGTTAATTTTTATTGCAAGAACTGTTTTCATACTGAAGTTGGACTATACCCACATTATGCATGCTTAAACATTTGGTGTTCACTATACAATGGCGTAGCGAGAGGGAGCAAGGGGATGCATAATGCCCCGGGCGCCGCTCGCAGAAGGGCGCCAAATGGTCTCCAAACAAGATATTCCGGAAAATTTCAGTTTCTATTTTGATCGATTTCTGGAAAATATATTTAAAATTAATAATTATTGTAATATAATTAATTATTTATTTTCTTGATTTGTCTGATAAAATGTGTAATAAAATGTTTCCAGTAAATCAAGCAAATACCTCCGGATAGAAAACGTTCTTTCTGACCACTTTATTTCTATAAAATAGTGACATTTTTTTTTTTTTTTTTTTTTTTTTTTAAACGAGATGCGCATATAGCTCCTTTTTATTTTAAAACAATAATACGACCTTGTCCGGAATTTCTCAAACATATCCAATTTCCAAAACGATTCCATAATCTGGAAATGACATTTTGGGAAACTCCTAACGCTTTCGCTACAATGGATTTCGTTTGACTCTCCTGTAAACGACTAATGGCCTTCCTGTCTGCCGATTCAGCTAAGTCATCTTGCTGAGACATCGCATATTCACTGTACAAAGCATTCAACGAGTGTCAGTTGTTTTTAATCTCCTACTACAAAAGGAATGATGCAGGTCCCTCTTTACTCCTTATCTAAAACGCATAGTTTTCGACGTCACAAGCTAAATTTGCATATTCCCAACTTTTAAAGGTTATAGTTTTCCTTTATAATCTCTTCTATTATATTTCCTTTTGGTAAAAAAGGTTGTCGATTATATGGTTATTTCATACCGAACTCGCAATATCCCCTAATTGTTTTGAGCAGTGAATGTTACTGCAAGATATTATAGAAAAGAAACTGAACCTAAACTCCATTACAGATCTACGGAGAAAATGTTTTTCCAAACCTAAGAGTCGCACTTCAAATACTCCTTACTATTTCATTATCAAATGCTAGCCATGTACGTTCGTTCAGCAAATTAAAATAAATTTTGTCATTTACAATCAACGGCGAGACAAGATCCCCTAAGTCATCTAGCATTTTTAAATGTGGAAGGAGAAAAATTTGAAATGATTAACTTTGATGAAATGATGGATAAATTTGCTTCATCTAAGGCAAGAAAAATGTATACATAGTAATTAATTGTATTAATGTATTATAATATTATATTATTATTAATAAATATATCTACTTATATTTAATATATATTAAACTTTTAATTGTTTAAAAATTGTACATTTTTAAAACAGTTATATAAACATGTAAAATAAATAATACCTTTTTAACTAATTCCAGATCATCGTACGTCTGATTTTTCAGCCGACACATTTCCGAATCCAATGCTAGTGTAGTTAGGTAGTGACTATTCTTAACATATTTTAGAGTATTTTATTCAGCATTTTATTATTATTTGCATTATTTTCTTATTACGAATACAATCTATACATTATATTACTGTGTTTTTTTGGGAGGGGGGCGCCAGTTATGCTCGCTACGCCACTGTCACTATACTTCAACCTGACCTGCATTCATTTCTGAAATGCGCATGGTTGCGTTAATATCTTATAGTACATTAACGTGATGAGTTTAAAATATATCAGGCTACATCTACAAAACAATGTGCACTGTACCTTTATCACTAATATTT